CTGTGCTGGATCACAGTTAAGCCAGTACAGGACATTGTCTAGACTAAATGCAGGTTGAGGAGCTCATCTTTGATTCTGCCCACCTCAGCAAGACCCTTGTCTAGATCCTCTGGTTCTTACCACTTGATCTACAAGTGGAGGCCTCATGAACAGGCCCCTTCGGCCTGACACCCAGAGGAGAACCTGGGACCCTGGTACTACTGGGCCTGCCCAAGATGGGAGTTTCTGTGGAGATGTTTCCAAGGTTCCTCTTACCATACAGGCTGCACATTGTGGGAAAGACATAAAAGAGACAATTGCATAGAAGGGTGGAAAGAAAGTCAAGAGAAGAGACTTTGCCTGAGTTCCCATTTTGTCCCCCTCTCTTCCTTCTCATTAAAGCTCCTACTCATCTTTTAACACCCAGTCTAAAATGTTACTGTCATGTGAAGCCTTCCCAAATTTTCTTCCATGCATTCCCAGTCTTCTCTAGCACTGTTTTTTTTTTGCACATCCTATACTGCCTAGAATGGTGATTGAGACAAACAAATTACTCCACATAAGATTGCTATTAAGGTAAGATAGCTGGATATGAACTTTAAAATATGTTCAATTATCTTGTTGTTTTCAAGAAATGCTTGATATGGATTTGGAAAAATATCTAAAAGCAACTAAAAGTGAATCATAATCACATAAGGTTCTGGTAGCTTTCACTTTAAGCTGAACATAAGAAAAAAACCCTGCATGTATAGATATGATTGCATACAAGGTAGATTTCTTAATAGTAAGCTATGTTGTAAGATAAAACACAAATCAACACATCTGTCCCATATTTTTAGTTTTAATAGACATATTTCTTCATAAATGTCATCTAACTTCTAAAATTTAACTCATTAAAACTGAGCACATATTCATTCATACCCCAAACTCCTGTCCAGTTTATGTATCTTGTTGAGCAACTCCATTTAGGGCTGTTGAGCTGTTTTGACTTTGCTTCATCTTTTGCGATTATCTATATGTGCAGGTTTTAGTTCTGAAAAGTAGTCCCAAGAGTTCCTTCCTTTTGATTTAGACAGTGAGTCTGCCAGATTGGGCTTCTCCCTTGGGGCTGTCAGGTTGCCTGCTCCAGAAGGCAGCCTTCTCAGACAAAACGAGAAGCATGGTGCCCTGGGGAGTCAAGGACCACGGCAGCCACACCTTGTCTTTGGCAGTGCAATGGGAGGGAGGGCACAGGAGCCATTCAGCAGGGGAGTCTCACCCAGGCTCTTCTGTGCACAGGGTATATGATGTCATGCAGCCAAGCTTCGATTTTCCTCATCTACATATTGGTGCTAGTAGGTAGACCTGTCTTCTTGGGTGTTTGTAAGGATTAAATAAAATTTCCATGAAGTGCTTAACACAGTGCCTGGCAAATAGCTCTTGTTATTATTATCTTGTTTTTATTATAGCTGGTTTCTCCTCAGGCCAAATCTTCTACATATGGTGGCTGTGTAGTAAAGAATTTAACTTTGCCCCAAGAAAAGTCTGGCCTTTGTCCTTGGCTAACAATATGATTTAGGGTACGGCCTGGCTATTCCAAAAAGACTGACAATTATGTAGAGCAGTAGCTTTGGAATACAGCTGGAGGGGCTTATGACCAGAGACTGAGGTCAGTCGTTTGGACAGTCAATCATGCTTACATAATGGAGCCCCAATATAGCTCTGAACATAGAAATTCCAGTGAGTATCTCTGGTTGGCAATATTCCGTGCATATTGCCATATACTCATGCTAGGAAAGCCGTACATGCTGGCTCCATGGGAGAGGGCAATGGAGGCTCCATGCTTGCTATGTCTCCAGGACTCTGCCCTTTGCACTTTCTCCTCTAGCTGATATTTAATCTGTATCCTTTTCCTCTAATGACTGTAACCACGCATATAAGAGCTTTCAGTGAATTCTGTGAGTTCTTCTAGCAAATTATTGAACCACTGGGTGGTTATAACTTCTCCCACCCCACGCTTGCAATTAGTGTCAGAAGGAGGATGGTCACGTGTTTGCAGTGGTCCCTCAGGCAGTGTTGGGACTGTGTGTGCCCTAAACCTTTGCAAACACAAAGGTTTAGCTTTTTCTCAAACACAATTCAATTTTCCCCCCTCTTACTTAAGAACTTGAGTGTGTATGAGGTGTATCCAATATAACCAGTCCCTGGGATCCTCCAGGACCAGATTTGAAGTAAAACAAACAAATAGGGTCAGGCTAGGATCACGTCTGTAATCCTAGCACTCTGGGAGGCCAAGGGGGGCTGATTGCTCAAGGTCAGGAATTCGAAACCAGCCTGAGCAAGACCCCGTTTCTACTAAAAATAGAAAGAAATTGACTAACTAAAAATATATATACAAAAAAAAAAATTAGCCAGGCATGGTGGCACAGGCTGAGGCAGTAGGATCGCTTGAGCCCAGGAGATTGAGGTTGCTGTGAGCTAGGCTGATGCCACGGCACTCACTCTAGCCTGGGCAACAAAGTGAAACTCTGTCTCAAAACCAACCAAACAAACAAACAAACATCTAGTCTTTTTTCCAGGTTATTTAAAATAATGCATGATATGTAATTATTTGCTATCTTGAAAGAGTATCAAAATTTTGTGCTTTATGCATAAATTTTCTGTCATTATAAAGTTGTCACTTACAATGGGAAATAATGCTCACTAGTTCAAAATGGTTAATGGTAAGTTGGCTGTGTGTGGGGTGGGTGCTTTGATTTGAAATTATTCAAAGCAATCATAATGAAGCTATTGCACTAATATAAATCTATTTTCTTGGGGCAAGCCTGCTGAGAAGAAAATGTATTTGTCCTTTTTAATGACAAGACTATTTTCCTTTTCTTAATCCCATTTTGTGAAAAGTGACCCTATTTGCCTTTTGGAAGTTTCCCGTAATTGGCTCTGATGCCTCCCGACATTAGCAGATGAATCTGTCAGTTTTGTGAATTTTGTCTCTAACAAAAAGCTATGTAGCAGCTAATGACACACGATGTGAGGGGAAGAGGCCAAAGCAGGCTTGCCTCCGGACTCCTGCCACTTGCTGAGTGTGTTCAAAAGACAACATGACAGAAGGTGCCCAACTGAACTCTTGAGGGCTGACCTTGAGCTCTGACGTGAGAGCATCTGTCATGGTGGACACATAGGTTAGACCCAACATGGGGAATTAGCAAGATGGAGTGTCAACGGGCCAGGAGCCTGGTAAAGAGGAAGGCTGCAGGCCTCCCTCCCCAAATGCCAACCACAGATCCACCAAGGCCACTTCTGTTACCTGACATTTATTTTCCATCAAACACTATTTGTCAGGCACTGGGCCAGTGGCACCATACATTCATTCTCTCATTTAATTGCCACCCTGTACTCGAGGTTAAAAGCATGAAACCAGAGAGACCTGTGTTAAAGTACTGACTCTGCCACTTAACTGGCTGTGTCACCTTGGGAAAGTTTGCTCATTTATAAAATGAAGCAAACATTGCTCACTTGAAAATCATGCTAGGAGAATTAAATGAAAAAAAATGTATGTAAAGTGTCTGGCTTCCAGTAAATATTTGGTAAATGATATAGCTATGTTATTAATAGCCCTGTGAGGAAGATATATTTTAGATCATGAAATTGAATGTGGAAGAAGTCATTTTTTCCAAGGTCTGTCCTGGCTTTTTATTATAAAGTATTCAGTACTCGAAGAGTAATGCTTTTTGTTTACATGGTACATTTCATAAAACAAATCAGAAACATTTTTGTTTATATCATCTTTCCGAAATTAAGTTCAGTAGAAAAGCAGCAGCATTTTGATAAGCAATGCAATGACCATATGTAATACTTCTATAATATATATATATATCTATCTCCACCTGAAAATATTGAAGAATGTATTAGGGGATTAAAAGTTTTCCATTATACAAACCTAGTGGTAGTGAATATCGTAACACCCAGATTATAATCTTCAAATACATTTTCCACCAAAAGAAATAATGGTCTTTGAAGAAATGGCTGATTGCAGATCTGGGTTAGGAAATATAATATACAAGTTGAGCCTGAAATATCTTGTCACACAAAATAGCAATGAAGCACTCAAAGACTATTAGGGTTGTATCAAAAAGATTTAGAGTCCAACTTGAAGAGTCTTTCTTATGAAGATAACAACTGAAATGGAATGAGATGTATGAAATATGATTAAATTCATGAATTCACAATGCATTTGAAAACAACAGCAACAATAACAATCACCACTAGACAAGCATACAAAAAATATTAATTTGTAACCATTGGGAGATGTTAGTAAACCAACTCACTATTTTGAAAATTGGTAAATAAAGGAATAGAATCAAGCACATTTTTCTCCTGGGATTCTAATATGAACTATAGCACTAGATAGTAGGTGAGAGGAAATTTGTCTTTATGGTAATATTCTAGCTAATAAATGAATAAGAAATGAGAAAACTAGAAAGTCACTTTATACCCCCTAATGAATTAATGAATATAGTCCTTATCCATATAAGCTAGTAGCTTAAGTGGATATAAGCTTCTATTATAACAAAGAGACAATCAAGCATTATATTTCAGCATTATGTTTCATGTGCTTTTTTTTAAAAAAAAAGAACCTAAATTTGATCAAGTTTCTGTACTCAACTACCAATTTAGGAAGCATAGAGGTCAAAGGAACATGTTATACTACAGTGGAAAGATTCAATCAGCAACATCCAGATTGTGGGATTGTGGGATTTGGGGATATGCCTCGCTACCAAAGTTTGGTCTGCTGAATGGCAGCAATAGCACTGAGTGAGATAGACTGAGAGCTTGTTAGGAACGCAGAATCTCAGGCCCACTCCACATGTACTGACTCAGAATCTGCATCTGATCAAGTCCCCAGAGGATCTGGGGGCATTATAACCTGAGAAGCACTGATAATATAGGCAAAATGATGATTTCTTCAACAACAACAACAAAATGTAATAAAAATAGAGAAATCTGTAGATTAAAAGGATGTAAGAAAATATCACCCACTTGTAATATGCAGACCTTATTTGCACCTTAACTCAAACAAACTGTATAAAATATGAGACATTTGAAATTCGTGTTAATTTTATTAAATACGTGTGACCATGGTATTGTTGTTATGTCATTTCTAAGTTCTTCTCTTTTAGGAATACATATTCAAATAGTTACAGATGAAATGGTATAACATCTGAGACTGGAGTCAAAATAATACAGGAAGGGAGAAGTAGTGAGGATAAAGATAAGATAAGCTTGACCATGAGTTGAAATTTGTTGAAGCTGATAAAGGAAAACATAGCTCTTCATTGTACTATTCTGACTGCTTTTCTATATGTTTGAAATTTCCCATAATAAGAAAGTTACAAAAAGAAGAATCCCATTGTAAAGACAGAATTTAGCTAACGAAGTAGCATTGGCCAGAACATAAGAACATCGATAGTGTCTGTGAGTCTGTAGACAGCATTCCTCCTTACAGTGTCCTTGAGTTATAGGTGATATTATACTCCAGCAGCCAGAGAATACAGAAGTTTGAATTCTATTACTTCCATGTCCTTATTTCAGTTTTGGAGGTCAAGAGGAATACTTGGCAACTTTTCCAGCAGAGGCTTTGACACGCTTTTAATAGCTAAGTACCTCTCTTGTTCATTTCCCTGTATTCTGTTTTTGTGGAGGTGCCTTGCCCTTGTGCTACTGGCCAAGTTGTTCTCTGCCTTTCTTGCTTCATTTTCAGACAAAGCCTTTCTATGTTTAGACAACAAAAGTCCTTATAGGGAACCTTTTGTTGGTGCGGTGCAGCATCTGTAGTGCAGAAGCTACCCACTACCGAAGCTTCATAAAGCTGCCATTGGAGAAATCACCGTCTCAAGGGTTGTAGTGCTGTCTTCAGTTAGGTAGACACTACTAAGGTAGAGCCAGCTGAGCACAATAATATCTAAAACAAATATAAGAGATGACTTGGTTGGAATTGAGACTGCCAAGAACCAGGAGAGGAAGAGACGCCAAATAATAAGCTAACATCGCAAACAAAGCCTTCTGTGTTATGTGCCAAACAAATTGGGAGGCACAGATATCACCGGCCACAGTCCAGTAAGGTTCTAGAGTATGTTACTACCCCTAACCACAAACATAGGCCTTGAATAAGATATTCAACAATATCAAAATACTTTGGAAGCAAGATAAAGTATAACAAAATAAACCAGTGGTTTGATCATCTCTAAGATTATATAAATATTTATTTATTTCTTGACTCCATCAGATTTTTGCCATTTTTTACCAACTTTGTCCAGTCTGGAATCACTTTGGGAGCTTTTAACACTCCTGTTTCCTGGGCTCCACCTCAGACATTTTCACTCTGTAAATCTGGGCTGAGGTTCAGGAATACAGATGTAGTTTCAAAAGCCTCTGAGAGATTGTGATGCTGCTTCTCTCTGGTTACATTTTGACAACCTTGATTTAAACTAATAAGTAAGTGGGGTCTATTTCCCTCTGAGGCATTTTGCTCCAGGATGTGCTACCTGCTTGGCTGGGGACTAGAACCAACTGACAGGGTAGCTTTTGGTATAGGAATAAATTTGATACCTGTTCTAAATCTGTGAGAGCCCAAAGAAGTGGCAGGGGCTATTTATCCACAAAGGTAATATTAGAAGGTTTTTCCCAATTCCTACCTTCTCATAGAGATTTGCCCAATTTGACCCACTTTGGCTTTTCCTCTGAATTCTTACAGTACTTATGTGTTGTTCTATGCATTTGGAAACTTCGCCATAGAATTTCTTATATTTTTTAAATGTTGCATGTGTATAATTCTTCTGTCCTGAATAGTAGTAGACGTAGGAAAGCAGAGCCTCTGTTGTACGATCTCTTTCTTTCACTCTTATAAACAGACATTATTGTCTGCTTAACAAATATTTACTGATCTTCCATTACAAACAAATCCCAAAACATATATAATACAGATCTAGTCCATAGAATCTAATGTTTCTATTTTTATTATCTTTTACTACATTTACATATTGCATATAGGGACACATTAATTTTCCATTTGTTTATTATGTGTCAACTACGGTATTAGTGATTCAGCTCATGTGCACTGTCAATGTCTGACAAAACTTAATGATCCATGTTAAAATTCATAGAAATATATGCCCTCCAGAAAGGTCCATTTTATAATATATTTTTTAAAACCCACAACCAATAAATAAAAAGCCTAGTATTCCAAACTAATTGTCTTTCTTAGAAAGTGGTTCTGTTCTTGGATATGTACCCATTGATAGAATGTAAACTTCAGAGAATTGAAAAATCAGTGTCTATGAAGGGTATCTGTCTCTGAGACATGGCAGGTGGCTTGTAAAACAATACTCAAGTATTGTTAAGCAACCTTCTACCAGTACATTTCTGGGACTTGGGGTTAGTTTGGACAACCACTGATGTGAGATCAATTTTAGGAACCAAAATTGATCAGAATATGTCCCAGAAATCACTGGCTACATGCAGCTTTAAATAGGATGTTCCATTTGTCTATGGATTTTCTAGGACATAGAAAAAAAGTAGGTGCTTTAAGGCAAATAAAAGAAAGCTCCTTGGATTTCCAATTAGCAGTCAAGATAGGAGGAAAGAAGGAGTCATAAGCTAAAATTAGGATTCTTAAGGTAAACCTGGAAGACAATTTGAGCCATTCTCCAAAGTAATCCCATCGACCTTTTTTGTTCTCTTCGCTTCTTACATCTTGGATCTAATTCAAAGACCAGACTTGGAGAACCCAATCTCCATCCACCAAATCCAGTCTATTTTTGGTTCTGACTTCAACTGAAACAGAGTGCTCTTCTATAAAGGGTACGGCTGAAGTCTAAAGGGTGCCTGAAGGTTGTGGATATTCATCTACCTGAGAAATGGATTTGCTAACATTGCTAATTCCTTAGGAGGAAACTTGACAGTGGACAGGTACAGTGCCAAGTGACATTTAGAGTGCTCCTCCCTAGTTGCTTGGGTACGCTATGCCTATAAACACCATTCCCCTTACTTAACCATTGTCCTGAGAGGCCTCTCATTTCTTTCTTGATAACAGAAACTTAGACACATCCATGGCCTAGCATAATTGAACTGAAATCTCAGGACTTGCATTCTACTTCAGAATAAATATTAGGCCATCTGTCCAGTCTGCGGACATGCCGTCTGTACCATGCCATCTGTCCTATAACCAGGGCAAGAAAAATTAGGCTTCTCTCTTGACATCTCTGTGATGCCCCAATCACATGGCTGGTCTTAGCAAGTAAACAGATAAATAAATAATGTTTCAAGAAAGCAACAGAAAGTAACATTTCCAGGAGAGGAAATTACTAAACTGACCTTGCAGTACCCTACCAGGGTTTAAATTAAGGGATGTTGTGATCCCACTGTTGTATTTTTGAACCTGAGGTCAGAAAGGAAAAAGCAGAAGGACATTTCAGGAAGGAATAATTCAAGTGTCAAGTTAGGGTGAGATAATTATATTATTATTATTATTATTATTATTTTAGATTTTTTTATTTCGGCATATTATGGGGTACAGATTTTAAGGTTTCAATAAGTGCCCTTTTCCCCCCTCCCCCCACAAGTCTGAGTCTCCATCATGACCATCCCCCAGATGGTGCACATCTCACTCATTATGTATGTAGATACCCGCCTCCCTCCCCCCTCCCCCCCTTCCCCAATACCCTATTACTGTAGTACCTATGTGGTTTGCTGGTGAGTATATGTGGTGTTTGTTTTTCCATTCTTGGGATACTTCACTTAGTAGTATGGGTTCCAGCTCTAACCAGGAAAATATAAGATGTGCTATATCACCGTTGTTTCTTAGAGCTGAATAGTACTCCATGGTATACATATACCACATTTTATTAATCCATTCTTGGATTGATGGGTACTTGGGCTGCTTCCACAGCCTTGCAATTATGAATTGTGCTGCTATAAACATTCGAGTGCAGGTGTCTTTTTTGTAGAGTGTCATTGGAGATAATTATATTATTTTTTTCCATGATTGTTATTCTTCTGTGTGTGGTAGAATATACATAACATAAAATTTACCATTTTAACCATTTTTAAGTATACAGTTCAGTGGCATTAAGCACATTCACAATGTTGTGCAACCATCACCACTATCCATTTCCAGAGTTTTTCATCATCCCACTCTAAAACTCTACACTCACTAAACAATAACTCCTTATTCTGCTTTGCCCAGCCACTGGCAACCACCGTTCTTCTTCCTGTCTCTATGAATTTGACTATTCTAGATGCCTCATATAAGTGGAATAACACGTTATTTGTCTTCTGTGTCTGGCTTATTTCATTTATCTTAATGTTTTCAAGGTTCATCCATGTTGTAGCATGTATCAGAATGTCATCCCTTTTAAAGGTTAATGGTCCCATGTATGTATGTGCCACATTTTGTTTATATGTTCATCCACTGATGAACACATGTATTGTTTCCACCCTTGACTATTATAAACAATCTGCTATGAATATCAGTATACAAATATCATTTGAGTCTCTGATTTTAATTCTTTTGGCTATGTACATAGAAGAGGAGCTGAGTTGATGATAAATAAGTCATGTGAAGTCATGTGATGAATGAAGCTCAGGGAACTTTTTTTTCTGTTGTGGCTCCTCTTTGCAGCCAGTCATTGGCTCTTTCAAATCACTGGACCCTCAGGCTATTACATGACAACTCAATTTGAATCACTTTGGAATCTAACTCAATTTAGGGCCACTGTATGTGTAGACGGGTGAGTATTGGATTGGGACTTACACAATTTTATGTTCACACTCTATGGGAAGTCTGGGTAGCTGCTATTTTTGAATTGAACTGAAGTTCCACATGCAGTACTTTCACAATCTTGTGTATCTCAAAAATCATGACTACAATCAAGTGCTACTCTGTGCTCAGCATTTTGAGGTTCTTCAAATAAAGACAATAAATAAATAACTCCTGTGCAATGAGTAGCTGTTTTTTTTGTTTGTTTGTTTTTTGTTTTTTTTAAGACAGAGTCTCTGATGTGTGGGTTAGATTGCAATGGCATCATCATAGCCCACTGCAACCTCAAACTCCTGGCCTCAGGTGATCCCCCTGCCTTAGCCTCCCAAGTTGCTAGGACTGTAGGCACATGCCACTTCACCTTGCTAATTGTTTCTATTTTTGGTAGAGACTGGGCTCTCATTCTTGCTGAGGCTGATCTTGAACTCCTGACCTCAAGTGATCGTCCCCTCTCGGCTTCTCAGAGTGCTAGGGTTACAGACATGAGCCACCGCACCTAGCCCACAAGTAGCTTATTGACAGTTAATAAATATCATCAAGTCTTGTGATGTGGACTTTTCTGTAAATCAATTGCTGCAGAGGCCTCTGACACAATTAATTTCAACCATTTCCTGACTGCTTTTGCTCCTCTGCCTTAAAACAATCAAAAAGTCCTCTGTTCACTTTCTTCAGCAGTTTTTTTGGGGGATGAAGGAAAAAGGAGGAAAGGAACTTATCTTGGTTATCTTTCATACAACTTTTTTATAGTAGGAATGATAAAATAAGAATCTCAAAGACTATAGTGATCTAAAAGAAAACATGCATATCAAATGTTCAAAATCTTTAGGATTCCTGAAATGACGAGTGCTCATACTCTAAAGAAAAAAAACTACAATGTGAACTATACTTTCACATCTGCTATCACCTGTCAAATGAATTTCACTTTAAGTGACAACCAAATTCTTTTGATAGATGAGTGATGGACTAAGTCCTTGTCTCTCATTCAGAATATACCATATTCACACTAAGGTAATCAAGCTTTGCCTCTGCCCATAGTGGCTGTCTAAGAACTGTCTGTATATTAGACATTAGTGCCTGAAGTCCTGCAATGCCTTCACTACGAGACTCATCAAATATAAGCTAGAAAGTTAGAAAAATCCCTACTAGCAAAAACAGGCCATTCTGTATTAACGAAAGTATTAACTGAATCACAGAAGAACTGGTTTGTTAGACAAATAAAATCAAGATGCCTCACCTCTCTCCATCTGTCATGTCTTTGTTTCTGCCATTTCCCATTATGGGAGAAGCCTGTTAGCCTGGTTCCTATTGTGACAAGAACTCACACTGAAATGCTCATGAGCTCGTCTACCGCCAAGGCCCACCATTGTCTCAGTGTCTGTTGCCTAGCAACAAGACCATTTTTATCTGTGCAGGCAAATAACCTTTAGTATATATTAGTTAAAGGCACTTCTTGGTCTTTCTTTTATTTTTGAAAACTTTCAAAAATATTCTCTTCTCACATGCTTTTAAATTGCCTCCTTTTTTTGAGACACAAGACCTCAATAGGAAATTCACTGTGCAGTTTTCAAATCTCTTCTGTTTCATCTACCTCAATACCGTGCAGTCTGGCCAAGTGTAGAAATCCCAAAGGAACAGAACATGTCTGAATGCCAAGGAACACTGTAGTCGTCAGCTTTTCCCCCAGGTTTTCGGGGACTCCTACCTTTAAGGCCACTTTGCCTGAGCCAAGGATACCAGTGACCAGATCCCGGAGAGAGGCCAGGGTTGTCTTTTCCCTCCTGACACCAGGAAGAATAGTATAACCAAGGGCCCTGGAGAAAGGTCTTGGGACACACATTGCTCACAAAAATACCTAGGCAGTGACTGTCAGTTATCAGTTGATCACTTTTAAGAGAAGTGAGGGAGAAGACAGCAAAAATGGAAGAGCAAACGTCACATATTCACAAAAAGCATGTCACCGATTAACACACACACACACACAGACACACACACACACATGTGGCCTGCCATTTTTTCTCTTTGTGATGGCTCAGATGTTTTTCACCCTGAACTTGGTTTCTCAGGGAAAAGAGAGTGTAGAGGGGAGACTGCACTAAACCAGGTTGAAAGCCATTGTTAGCTGAGAGAATGAATCCAGCACAATGAATGCTGCACCATCCTCCATGGGCACTCCACTCTGCCCTCAGAGATAGTAGGCTGTATCTACTATGGAGTCAAATTCCTTTGGATGCCCTAGACGATCCACGCACAAGCAATGAATTCAATATGCAATTCCAGACCTCAGTCAATCGACATACATTTACTCTCAACTCAGCAAATGAAAGTTTCTACTCAGTAATGTTTCTACTTGGGACACGCCTTGCTGGGTCTTCCTTCTTATCAGTAGTCTTCAAGTTCCCCTATTTTTACTCAGTGCCCATATCAATTCCATTTTATTTCACTGATGATTTTGCCTTTTCCAATTATCTTTGCAAAATGCAGACTGTATTTTGGATTCTGCCCCTTCTTCTAAGACTGATTCATTTGTTTTCTAGTCAGAGCAGGGGTGTGATCCTTCAACTTCTTCGAGGCAGTATTTGGCTCACCATCCTTCACCTTCTTTCCCCACTGCAGGCATCTGCAAGCGTTTGCACAGTCCACCCACTATCCTTGTTATATCAGCGCATGGCTTCTGTGGCAGCTGCAATGGAGAGACATCCTGGGAATGCTTTCCCATTGGGTTTCTAGCCCATGTTGGATTGAATTGATCCACCTGGGACCTTAGAACTGACCATGGAGCTACTATGAAGGTTCTCAATTACAAGTTTCCATGCATGCCTAACTTATTATATATCAGTGAAAACAGATGAAAAGTCTCTGTCCTACACTGGTATACCTTACTTTAAATAATGGCTGTGTTGCCCAAAAAAATTGGCATAAGAAGACTTTCTTTCTTTTTTTTTCTTTTTTGAGTCAGAGTCTCGCTTTGTTGTCCAGGCTAGAGTGAGTGCCGTGGCGTCAGCCTAGCTCACAGCAACCTCAAACTCCTGGGCTCGAGTGATCCTTCTGCCTCAGCCTCCTGAGTAGCTGGGACTACAGGCATGCGCCACCATGCCCGGCTAATTTTTTTTTATATATATATCAGTTGGCCAATTAATTTCTTTCTATTTATAGTAGAGACAGGGTCTCGCTCTTGCTCAGGCTGGTTTTGAACTCCTGACCTTGAGCAATCCGCCCGCCTCGGCCTCCCAAGAGCTAGGATTACAAGCATGAGCCACTGCGCCCGGCCAAGAAGACTTTCTTTTAAATAAACCATCACATTTCATATGTTCAGAGAAGAAGCCTACAATGAATCATTTTTTTTAAAAAAGGGAATAATTTTCTTTGAAAGTGCCAATCACACCCTAATTTAATCTTCTGTAAGTGGTGATTTTCTTGTTATGTTTTCATAGAGTGAAACCCACCTACATGTAATTTCATGACAACTATAATAATTTCACATCATAAGCCTATTGAAAATACTACCACAGTGAACCCACACACACTTTTCCCAAGAGAAACTTTTAAATTCTAAAGCTACAAGATCCTTGAGGGTAGGACCATGTCTTATACATTTTTGTTACTTCCAATGGTACCAAACATAGTGTCTTACACATAGTAGGCAAGTAACATATATTTGTTGAAGAATGAATGAATAAATTAAGCATCTTGTGTCATAGAGAGTGGTGGGCTTGAGAGGACTTTTGGTTTTGAAAAAATAAAACATATAGAAAATTGGTTACACCATGTAGTCACAACAGTGAACTGGTAATCTTAATAACTTTCTCAAATACCTTCAAAATTATTTTAAAAACAAAGTAACATTTTTTAAAAAAGCATTCCATATAATGTTGAAGTCTTTACTCTCCTTTATACCCAGTACTATTTCCTCCTATCCTAAGAAGCAACATTAGAAAATTTGTGAATTATCCCAAAACCATTTTTGGTTTTATATACATTTATACACATGCATATGTATATGTATGGATATCCATATATAATATGTTTTTGTAAGAGTTATAAAATTTATAGCACCGATATCATACACTACTTTCTCTATATATCATTTTCCAACTTGGTTTATTTCCCTCATCATTGTGTTTGTGCATTGTTATCCATGTGGTATACAAATAAGTCTGGCTTACTTTTTTAAATCTGCAGAATGTTTTATTTAATCATTCCTCCCATCCCTGGACTCACAGCTTATTTCCAACTTTTGCTATTATAAACAATGCTGCAATAAACATGCCTATGGGCTTACGTAAAATTTACCAGCACCAAAAATTACTAGTTCATAGGATATGCACATTATTCACATTCCTACTATAACCAAATAACTCCCCAAAGTGTTTGTATGAATTTACACTCCACCGGTACTGTGTAAGAGATCCCTTCTATCCACCCTTGCTAACACAAACTGAACACATCTTGCGTGCTCATCTCACAATAGACAAGGAGGATAATCTCTCATCAATTTTATGTTTTATGATCAAGACAATGAAACTCAGTAGTCCCTAAATGGTTGCTAGTATGGTGCCAATAATATCATATTCATAAGTTGTTGATTTTAGTTCTTTGATATTAATACAGTAGATTCTAATTAAGAGCATAGTGAAAGGAATGGACATAGAGCTGAGAAATTATAACTTGAACAGAACTTGAGTGCATCCTTATGCATCACTAAATCTTAAAATGACGCCCAGAGGCATCCAAATTTGCGTTAACTTGTACCAGCATGTTTACAACAATGTGATGAAGTATCCCACCTCTTGGTGTTCTTTCTTCAATACTTATGGTTTTAACTAACCATTTATAGACAAGATCCAGGTTAGATACTAATTACTTCCCAATATAAATGGTGTTCCATCACTAGGAAATTTCCTAAAGTTAGTCATAGTATCTACTTCTACAAGAAAACTAGATTAATTGTTGTCCTAAATGGTTTAGAACAGTGCTGCTGAGAATGTGGATAAGTGCTGGCTATATGATTATATCTAAATCAAGAGTTTTATAATTTAAAACAACAGACACCAGCTGTGGTGGTTGTAATTAGAAAAGGAAACTGTTGGAAGGCTGGGGAAGTGGATTTGAAAAAAGTCAGGATTCAAGACCTCTGGTCTTTTTGAAAATGGCTGACCAGAGACACCAGCTGCCACAGCATCTTAGTAAGAAGGAGAAATTTTAGATGAAAGAGAAAAAAATGAATAAACAGACAGAGATCAGGTATGGGTCCAAGGGAAGGGTGCCAAAACCTTCAGGAGACTACACGGGAAGAAGTTGTGGAGCTTAACAAGCAGCAGCAAGGTGTTGGCAGAGAGTAACTCCTGAAAGGCTTGGAGCCCAGTGAGAAGTGTAGGTGGAGCAGTTAGTTTCTCCCTCCCCAGCATCGCTGACAGTTGGCAAGTTCCCAAGCTAGTGGAGAGACTTTCTGCCCACACAAGCCCAGAGGCTGCTGCCACCAGGGAGCTGGCAGCTTCTTGTGGACAGGGCACCAGGTTCCCAGCCCCACTGGGACACCTCCCGTCTCCACGCTGGGATGGCAGGTGCCATATTATTTCTCTACCCACTGTGCTCCCTTGTCCTCCCAGGGGACTTCAGTTCCCCAGGTTCCATCTTGCTCCTCTCCACACAGACATTTCCCAACTCCAGCCCAGACTGCAGGAGCCACAAAGGTCCAGTGGGTCTCAGGTGATCTCTGTGACTCCAATGCCTGGACGTTTTTGGCAGGTGGCTTCCTGGAGAGAGGGATGGGCATGACCAGAGTGCTAGCTTTCCTCATACAGTCTCTTTGTCCCTTTCCATCCCCCACCCGTGGGTGCTGAGAGAGACAACTGAGCCACCACAGCAAGGCTTCCACAGAGAGTGGGGCTCAGATCTTTCCTCTTGGGGTCCTACAGCAGACTGAGGGGTGCCTGGACTGTGAGCTTCCTGCCCACTGGCCCTCCCTGGTGCTGCTTGCCTGATGACTCCATTGGACTGGGGCACACTTCGAAGTGGAGAGATAGTAAACCTGTTTGGGCAGTTCATGGGCAACTCAGGACCAGTGTGCTTCTCCCTGGCATGGTCAGGGATTGATCTTTGAGGACCTGGGGATGGGCCCACAGGCCAGATCCCATACCCCCAGGTCTCAATTGCGTTGGTCAGGGGGCACAGAGAGGAGATTTATGAATTAGTCTTGGGAAGCAAGGGAGTTTTCATGGGCAGATCAGGGAGAGAGTGTAGTGTGAGTACTGGCTGCAGCTTGCTCACAGGGCACGCCTCCCACCCATAAGAGGGCGATACTCTCAGCTCAGGCCAGGA